CACAATTGAAGCAACCCTTATCAGAATGCCAGCAGTGAAAGCCCAGATGACATACTCTTTACCATCTGCTTCATAGTTAAAGTAATGTAACAGATACTTGTGTCCCATCCATTTGTTCTCCTCTGCTCTTCTGTTCTCATCCTTGAGAAACATTTCTAAGGGAGCATAAAAAATTGTTTCAACTTCTGCAGCATTTGGAGCTGGACTAAATGCTTTTATGTCTGAAAGTAGGCCAATTACCGGAACCACAATCATACCATTCTGCACATACAGAGCAAACACAAAGCTAGCTTTATTTCCCAAAGAGGGAGAAGAAAAATACAACTAAAAGAGTTTCTATTTTCACAATCTGTCAACCACCAAGAAAAATTGAAAATCTTAAATATTTTTTCACTGTATTTTTGGTGCAATGCAAATAGAAGCTCCCATTTAAAGATGCATTAAGTTGTAATTTCTTTTATTATTTTTTTTTTTGTTCAATGCATGCATACAATAATGGTAGATTAAAATAACTAGTTACAGTTATCAAAAATTATATTTACGTACAGTAATGTACAATTGTACAGCTATGATGAGTTATGAGCTAACCTTGGTTAAACTGGGTTGAAAAACGGTGATAACCTTGACTAGGGACGGGTCCAAGCCGATCTCCTCCTTGGCCTCCCGGAGGGCAGTGTCCACGTCATCAGCATCCCCTTCCTCTCTTTTCCCACCGGGGAGCGCAACGTCGCCTGCAACCAAACACACCCTATTTCATGCTTCTGCTGGTAGGTTGGTAGGTGAGGCTGATCATGATTCATGACCATTTGACCACTCACCAGGGTTAGAAGAGAGAGTTGAGGCTCGCTTTGTGAGAATGACGTGCAGGTCGCCCTCTTCCCCTTTAAACAAACACACCAGAACCGCCGCTCGTTGGCTCGAACAGGCGGTGCTGGCTGTAGCTTCTGGACCCGGTTTGACTGCTTTCTCGGCGATAAAATGTTGTGCTAAAGTGTGGAGCCTTCGTTCAACGCTGCCTGAATCCATTTACTTTTCTATGCTATCTCTTTCTGAAACGACGTGGGGTGGGGTATGTATAGCACTTTGCTTCGCTTTTAGACATTTATCTTCAACAAATAATAATAAATAAATTAATAAATAACAGTGCATAAAAAGTTATTTGGAAGGATCCTTTAAAATAAGGCCGAGGCGCAGCTGAACAATATTAAAGTCTCAGCTCAAAGTTGATAGATGAGTAAGACGTTAAACCTATGGCTTGGTGTGGTGCCATCCAATCCAGAATTTTGTCCTCCGCTTGAAGCACCGGTTATCAGAACGCCAGCCGTTAAGGCCCCGATGACTGATTTCTCGAGTCTGAAATGTTGGGCTGAAGTTTGGAGTCTTTGTTCAACGCTGCATGCCACCAATTTTCTAGGTCCTCAGTCTCTCCGAGACAAATACGGTGGGAATAGCGTTTACCTTCCCTACTAATAGGGTTGGTGTGGCGGCAGGAAACCGCACCAAAACGGGGTGAACTGGTCCTGCAAATTGGACTGCTGACTGTGCCAGAAAACCGGCCGACCGGATCAACGTTGGCTAAATTGGCCAACTTACCTACTACTGAAGGCTGGCACACAATAAAAGAAAATAATTTAACCTATTCCTTCACCACTACATTTGTTTTGTATATTATTGATCTTCTTGTAGAAAGGTATATGCTTCAATCATAACTATAAGAAGAGTTCAGATTGATGAGGCTGAAAATTTGAGAATCATAAGGCCATTTCGCATCACCACAATATGAAAACAAAGTTTAGAGGGAAAGAAAAATGCCTGCCCCGACTTAAATGTTCCTATTATTGAACAGATAGTGCATATTGAGGTAAATATTATTGCAGGAAAGATGATCATTTCAAATACAACCCAATACAAATTTTGTTAAAAAAAATTACGGAATCGTGGTATTTATGTCTACAACTCTAGGAACCTTGTAAATGGGATTCTGCTCCACAAAAGGTGGTGAGCGTTTGTATACAATTGATGCAGCCCTAATCAAGATACCAGCAGTTAAGCCCCATATTATGTACTTCTTGTTCTTGGCTTCATAGTCAAAGAAATGAATCAGATACTTGTTTCCCATCCACTCCCTCTCCTCTGACCTCCGGTTTTCATCCTGAAGCAAATGTATACAAAATGATCCTCTAAAGAGAAATAACAGAAAATTGTATTGCTTTAACTCGGAGAGCAATGAAACTAAAGGCACAAACCTTGATGAACATTTCCAATGGAGCATCGAATACGGCTTTCACTTCAGCAGGGTTTGGAGCAGCCTTGAATGCTTCCTTTTCATTGAGTATGCCAATAACGGGGACAACTCTCAGTAGGTGCTGCGCAGAAAGCCAATGGTAGCTAAATCAAGCTCCTCATATATCCAGAAAGCTTTTCCAAGTTGCAAACCTTACACCGAAATTTGCAGTGCCTCATATGAGGACAGGTCATAATGCCAATATGGTCATCCTGCTCTTCCTCTAGGTACCCTATCTTTGTAAGTCAATCCAAAGCATTTAACCAACAAATCACACTAACCACCCTGCTCTTCCCCTAGACTAACCTCCAAAATTTTCGAATACCTTCATCTTTGTATGTAAATTTTCGAATGCCAAAATTAAATAGCTGTCTCAGCTAGACAAATTCTTAGAGCTCCTCCAATCTACCAATGTAACTGCTCATTTTTCTGGAATTTAAGACCCTAAGCATTACATTCAAACTCATTTCAGTTGCAAACACAAAGTATAAGATATGTCGGGCCTTTCTTTCTAGTCTCAACTGAAGTTCCCAACTTTCAACTTCCACTATAGAGAAACTCAGGCATTAATTTGTAATTTCCCAAACAACAGAGTCTCAATTGTACAAATTTCAGTTCAATGAAGCGAAAATTCATAACAAATAATAACCACATAACAATAATGAAATTAACAATCGAACAATCAAAAAAGAAAAACTTGATACCTTAGACAAGAACGGTTCGAGAACAGTAACAACATTGACAAGCGAAGGATCCAAACCAATCTCTTCTTTTGCCTCCCTTATTGCCGTGTCCCCATCATCTTTGTCTCCCTCCTCTCTTTTCCCGCCTGGCAAAGCAACTTCACCTGCCAAAAAACAAAAAAGAAAAAAAAAATGAACCCCAAAAACCAATCTTTCAGTTTTCTCAGGAACCAAACAAAGGGTACCCAAAACTCCACAAACCCGAGTGAGTGGACAGCTTTGATGACCTCTTAGTGAGAATGACACGCAGATCCCCAGCATCCCCTTCAAAGAGACAGAGCAAAACAGCGGCTCTCTTGGGTCTGAACCTTTCTGGGTCTTGTGCAACTGGGGTATTAGATTCAGCAAAACCCACCTGCGACACAACCTTGTGAGTAATTTCTTCGATTCTCTGCTCCTCAATATCATCGTCGGAGGAGAAAGGAGGTGGCTTGTAGAGACGGAGCTGTTGGGCCAAGGCCAAAAGTCTCTGTGACCCTACACAAGAATTGGCCGGCTCCATGAGTAGTGGAGGTGATGTTGATAGCCTTCTCAGGAGTGAGATCATGGGCTGTAGCTCTGCATAGTAAATAGTAGTAGAAGACGAGGACTAGTTATTGGGGTTTGTTGGTTGTTTCACTCAGCAAATTCAGCAATGGTCATGGAAACACTTGCACATTACGGTTGATTATTATTTACGGTTGAACCCTAAATTATTATTATTATTATTATTTATTTATTTAAGAAAATCGATATTATATTACTATTTTTTAAAGTACATTCAAAGATTCGAACAAAGATCAAGAGGACTTTTGTCCCCCCAAACCAAAAAAAAAATAAAAAAAAATCAAGAGGACTAGTCTAATATATTTATTATTTACATATGAGGCCCGAACATCGGACTAGCTAAATAGCTTACTCTCCTCTCACAAAATGACCGGAAGAACCCTTATCCCTCATAGAGCATCCTCTCCTCTATATTCCATAGTAATAGATAAAATAAAATTAAGAATTACAACCCTCAAAATACATGTTGCAATTCATTTTTAATAACACAGCTAATTCGGTTGATTTGTGGTATTTACGTAGTCGTTTTTGACAGTGCTTGCTTAGCAAAAAGAGTGAACAACGTTTAATTTTTCTTGTAATGTATTTTCTTGGAAATTTGTAGGATATTAATTATTTAATTTTGTCAAGTACATATTAATAAGTGGATTGGACGAGTAGGCTTTAAAGTGCAATAATATCAAGTGGGGTCGTGGCACATGTGACATGCCATTATATCGTCTTCTTAAGTTGTAAGACAGACAGAGTACCATGGTTACACAAGTTGTTTTCTTTTTCTTTACAACGATTCTCTGCGCAGCTGCGCATGCTGTCCTCCTTTGGCACGGGAAGAAGGTATCAGCCCAACAAACAAACTGTTAACATTTTGTAGTTTGAAACCTCAGTTAGATCAAAAGAGCTTAATGACATGTTTACTATCCGTAATCGGATGAGAATGAATTGAATACAGGATTACTAATCCGTAATCGGATGAGGATGTTGAACATAGAAGTAATCTGTAATAGGAATTCAACTCCTTATTTGATTCCGATTATGAAGTAGTAAATATGCCATAAGTTTAATAGGGTGCATTGATATTATTGATATTATATGCTCTTCTTCTTAGTTCTTACCATAAAATTGTCCTTGCCATCTTTTCAAAATTAAGCCTCTAAAGTCTAGGAGGGTCCCCAAGAAAAAAGGTAACGTGTCCAGTTGACTAGCTTTTGAGGACAAGAGCTAGCTGATTGGAATGTACATGAACTCCTTCCAAGAAAACCAGACTCACCAACACATATGATTGAAAGTGTCCCTGTCGTTTGAGGAATCTTTACTATATAGTCTGCCTTAGCACCAAACATATCACTGTTGGGTTTTGGCTTTTGGCTCTGTGACTCAAAACCCAAAAAGAAAAAGAGACTTTACAAGTAAACTAGAGTTGGCGCAATTCCCGTTTGATACAAGGAAGAAGGGGCTGAAGAAAGAAGCCTGCTTTTTCTGCATTAATGCCATGCAGCCTGTGCTTAGCTTATAACAGGTGATCTTTATGATCTCTTCTGCTTGAGCAGATTTTGTCATGCCATCTCTGTCAAAGATACCTCTCATTTCCTTGAGTTCCAGTCAGCTCTGATCAGAATTCATAGCTTTTGTCCCCGTTTCTAATTCTATCATTAACTATATTGCTAGACTATTTGCACCACTATCTTCCATAAACTTGACAGGAAGAGAGAGAGGAGAGAGAATCCATGAGTCACCTGCAAGACATTCTGCGTCTGCAAATGTTACAACAGAGAGGATCAAAGAATGAAGATCAAGATCAACCAGAAGATGTTCAAGAAGAAGAACAACAATCACAGAAGAGACTAATTGGTCAATATCAGCATGTTCAAGAACCACCAAACTATGGACCATTAAATGGCAAGATGTTGAATACCCACATAGCAAAATCCTCCAGGAAAAGTTGTTACTCAATGTCTTCTTCTTCTTCACATTTGGCATCTGAACAAGCGAAAATCAACAATGCGAGATATGGGAAGATTGTAAAAGTTCATGGAGGCCACATTGTCCGATCCACTGCAAGAAAAGAAAGGCACAGCAAGGTGTACACTTCCAAAGGTCCTAGAGACCGGAGGTTCCGGCTGTCAGCTCCGACTGCTATACAGTTCTATGATGTCCAAGACCGCCTTGGCTACGACCGGCCAAGTAAGGCCATTGATTGGCTCATTGAGAAGGCCAAGGCAGCAATTGAGGCTCTCTCTGAGTCTGAACTACCTGGAAAAGAGTATGACTGTACTAATATCAACAACTCTGCTCAACAGACAGAGCAAGACATTGGAGAAGAGAGTATGCGTCAGTTTCAGCATCACCAGAGAAGCTATGGTGGTGAACCAGAAAAACTGAACAATGTGAACAGTTTTAAAGAACCAGTTCTTGATCACTACCAGTTAAGTTCAATGAACTATGCTGAAGAAGCCCTCAATTCTGGCTCAAGTTTAACAGATTCCAAAATGGAGGTGGCTTGGTTTCAAAGTTTGTTGGCTTGGAATTATAATGCAGGTGATGGAGGAGAAGGCTGTCCTTTCAATTCATCCCATGTATATCTGCAATAGCCATATTTCTTAGCCAAATCCGGTTCCTTCCTCACATTAGTTCTATTCCTGTATAGGACTTTGCCTCGGGTAGATTACATGTTCAGAATGTACTAGAAGACTCTGGTTACTTGATCTAACAAGTCTTTTGATTGTGTTTTCAGTCTTACAAAATTGTTTCCCATCTGCTACTAAATTTTCCTGTTTTGTGTCTTTGTCAAAACTATTCGATCCCATATCATAATGCTGGTGAGAAAACCTCTCATGTGTTTTAGGTGCCAACAAGGCAAAAAGTCAGCAACCTAGTCCTGCAAAAACAGGAGATTAAAGTTGCAATTATAAGACCATGAAAAGCCTCTTTTAACAATTGTGTTTTCCATTTTCTTAGTGGATAGAGATAGTCATGTCATGTCAACTAGGCAAGCATTATTAAGTTCATCCTCTTTTGTAGGTGAAGGACGAAGAGTTTAATGAACACATGCATACAGCTACCCTTTTGAACCTATCTCGTTTGTGCAGAGCACCTAAAAGCTAAGACTTTGATTTAATGATCGTTCTTGTGGCCTCGATGCTCATCTTTTTTTTCTTCGAATTTTACCCTTCAAAAAAATCTGGTTGACTGAAGAAAAAGCTAAATCATATATGATACTGAATTCAATAGTCAATCAATTGAATAATGATGTAACACAAAGTAATTCAAAGATCAACACTTGCAGCAGCATAAATCACTTCAGCCTGATGGTGGAAAATGTGAAGAACAACCTTAGTAATTACTAATTACAATGCGCAAAAGCACAGTACAATCACCCCATCAACAAATAGATTGTCTATGTACACCATAAATATAATATTTTCCCTCTTTAACAATATACATCAAAATGAAGAATAGGGAGAAAAACATCATAGAAGGATGCTCTGGTCAGTCCCAAATCCAGGTCCTGTTCGATAATCCTTTACTGCACGCCCAAGCATATAACTTCCACACCACTCCATGTACAAGAATCAGAAATGACCGCCTATATTAAAAAATGGATCCTCCCTCAAATTTCTGCAGTTTGAACTCATAACATACAGAAGACATTCTTATTTAGTCTCTACCGTTGGCCCAGAACCAGCAAGTCAATGTTTATTTCTGAGTGTTCCTCTCTTCAGTTTTAATGCCCTCTGCACGTGCAACCGGTTTTACTTCATCCGCTGTGTAAGACAATCTCCGAGCCCTTGTAGTTCCCTTACCATTTGATGAAGGGAGCTTGACTGAAACTGGAGTTTTTGGCGTTGGTGAATTTGTGCTTTTACCAACCTTGCTAGCTTGCTTACTCGGTACTTTCTTTGGGCTAGGTGACTGCACACGGCTTTCCCATGGACGAGCAGCAATCCATCGTTCTTTCCAGCTCCAACCCCAATTAGCTTTGCCAAGTTCATAATTACCCAATCCTTGGCTCTGACTACAGTTGGCCCTCCACTACAAATCATGGAAATGTGTTTTCATTCTCAATTGATTCTGGGGTCAACCCAAAGGATAAAGTGCGTACAAGAAAACAGTATACCTGATGAGAAAAGGCATATGCCATAGCCCGCTCACGCTTAACTGCTGCTTCTTCTCTTTGATATATCCTTGCAAGAATTTCATCCATTGTTTCAGATCCACCACACCATTCCGCCTGTCATCCATTGAGACAATTACTCAGAAGCATTAATTGAGTTCAAAAAGCAGTCATAAAGTGAATTTATCTAAGGACAACAAGGTATCAAAAACACCCCTCATATGGTTGTTTTCATGCATATGATCTTTAAGAGAAAACCACATAACAGATCTCAGGCAACATATGCAGAGATTTGGAATAACAAAGCACAAATGCCAAAAGCTTGTCATCTTGTATTTTGTACTATCTGATAAATTTCATAAAAAAAAGTCAGTTATTAAGCAATCAACTTTACAAATAGATGGACTAGACTGAAATAACCTTAAGGCAACTAAGTAATTAAATGATAATAGACTTTTAACAATGAAAAACAATGTTGTGCAAATGCTGTGTGAGTGTGATCATAAGGGCTTGAGGCTGATTATGAGGTGATGATTCTGTGCACAAGTGCACCACGATTAATGAAGAAACTTGCAGAATCTTATTGTACATTTTAAATCTGACATGTTCTTAGATGTGGGAGCTGGTGGTCTCACCTCTATGTCATGAAGCTTCGCCTCAAGTTTATGTTGATTCTCTAATTTCTTCTGTTTGATCCGTCCTTCCGTTACCATATAGAGTCGACGAGCTCTAATCTCATCCTGTATTCTGCTCCATGAATGAAGATAGCTCAATGTAGTTGTGGCTTGCTTTGTAACAGGATAAGCTTGGGTCAGTATTTGCAATCGAACAATCCCTTTCAAGCGGCGTAAAGCTTTTCTAGCCTACAATGGGTGAGAGAAAGTCTTAGGAAAACAAAATCCAGCATAACAAAAAGTGCTCCTTCAAGCATAAATGCCTTCAGATAAGTTTGAATTTTCATCTGAAGCAAGAAAGGACCAAACCGCTACATAATACAACAAAATTACCAAATCCTCATTACTGATGAAACAAGAAACTAGAAACTGTTCACCAAATAAGCAGAGCCAAACTAGAGACATAAAAACAAAATTCCAAAGGATCATCTGGGAACAAACATAACCAGTGTTGACTTTTTTAATTACATAACCTGTAATTAAACATACCACATATGCACGGAAAGCAGTCTGAATTCGAATTGCAGCTATTTCCTCATCTGGCAATCCAAGATTTTTACCATTTGCAAAACTAGACTTTTTCAATTTTATGGAATTTGATTTTCCATTAACTGAAGGTCCCTGTCAGAAAAATGTAATGACGGGTGAGAAATCACAATTACATACCAACATCAATTTTGAGATATTACATATAAATTCCTAGTAGCAACCATACCACTAAATCATAAACCATGCATTCACTTATATGACTAGGATTAGTTTAAAAAGTTTTTATTCATGATGCAAAATGGTAATATAAATCGTGTGTATTGTGACAGCAACAGAGAATGTAATACCTTCAAGTACGTGTTAGATAAGCAATAATTGCAAGATAGTTATAGCATAAATTAGAAACCTAAACCTTCATGGACTTGCTGAGTGATATGTAAGATGGACGTGCCCAAGAACAACATTTCAATTTTTTATTAAAAATAACGAATAATGATAATTAGAGTAAAATTTAAGTTTCAAATTGCATTTTCCTTAACAAAAGCTAAACCATGTATAACAATTTGAAGGCTCTCTACCTTCAATCGTTTTGAACTGCCATCCTTGGATTTCTTTAAGCCGATTAATGCCTTAAACCAATATCCAGAACCCATACCTGATAGTGAGAGTCTGTCTCCAATTTAACATAACCCTGAGAGTTAAATATGATCACCATCAGCATTAAGCAACTAACAATGAATTAACTTTAAGCATGCAAAAATGGTACTTTTATTTTCTCTTTCCTTGAAAATCAATCCAACAGTTAACAAACAGATACGAATCAAAGTAAACTAAACTGTTGACCAAAGAAAACCAATTGAAGTCAAATGCAAGATAAAATCTTTCAAAGAATTTGTCACAAACATTGTAAACTGACTTCCATACCAATATGCTTTCTGTAAATTCCTTATATATTTAGCAACCAGATTCCACCCACGTCTCCCAAATGCACAAATGGGTATCCCCAAATCCCACTTGCCAACTCCCAAAGGAAGGCAAACAATGCAAAACCAAACAAAACAGCATCTGGGTAAGACTCACATACCAGAGAAGCTGCTTGAAAAAGTCCCAGAAGACACTCGTTTTAGGAAATGGGTACTCAAGATTTTGGAGGAAAAAGGTTGTGGCAATTGTAATAGAAGCAGTAAGGAAGAAGCAAAGCCCCTGAGAAGGTGGGAGAGAATAAAAGGTGGGTGTGGTGTAGATTGCCATGGCCCCTCATCACCAGCCCTTTTCTCACCAAAGAAAAAATAAAAAATATACATTTGTGGAATTTATAATTATTTTGTCATATAATATCATATAGAAATCTTTCTTTTTGGTTTTTTTAGTTCTCTCTCCTTAATCATAGGCTCAACCAACGCTAATACAACTCATGAAAGGTTAACGTGTTTGTGTACGTGTGGTTGAGGTGGTGGTCATTTGGTGGTTGGGTTTTTGTCATTTTGAGAAATCAACAAAAGCAGGCTACAGCGATAGCAGAACAAATCAATATCACTGTCTGATGCAGATGCGTGGCCTTTCTATTTATCTGAATCTTGTTTTTGAAGATTTCTACATATTCAATCAAATCCTCTGTCTTGCTTCAATAACTTTGTAAGTTAGAAAAACAACTTACCTTTTTAATTAAAAATTATGTACTTTAATTAATCAAATCCATCTACAAGCAAAAAAAATTATATGAAATAGGAATATCACTGTTTAACTATTCCTAACCACTCATGCTATGTCAAGTGAAAAAGTTATCACGAGTGAGATAGTGTGATTGACCGGGATAACAAAAAAGTGTTATCCCCTTGCACAAGACTTCAAACCTATCCAACACATAATTACACACATTTTTCACCTCTTAAAAGTGTTGGTAATTTGGTGATTATATTGTAAAGTCAGTCCAGATGTGGGTTGAATGAATTCCAAATGTAAGTTTTACTCCAAAAGGGCAAAAAACAAATATCTCCAAATGATTAAAAGAATTATACGTGCAATAATGCAATAATGCATGTAAGCATATCAATACACGGAATCATCATTGTGCCTTAACAGCAATTCCACTATTTAAAACATGATCTGTATTTTATCTGGATGAATAAATCATTTATTCCAAAATCATATATATATGTATATATATATATATATATATATATTTCTTTAACATCACATTTGAAATTTATTAAGAAAGCCATTGACTTGTCTAATAAGAAAAGCAGATTCAGCATCCAAGATAATGTCAGCATTGTTTTGGAGATGGAATGTGATCACTGGGAAGCCTTGAAAGGCTTCTTGCTTCAACAACTCATTGCAAAGCTCAAAAGGTACATCCCCACTCGGCACCCTTTTCACTGTGCCCCCATATGTATCCTGCAAAGACGGCTTCTAAAGCTCTGAATAAACTGTCATGTGCTGCCCTTCTAAGGTGACTAAATGCAGCACCAGAGTCAATTATGCTGCCTCCGCATCCATCTTTTTGAATTTTCAAATTCTTGCTCTGGTATGTTGAGCCTGTAGCCATTGACACTTATTCCTATTAAGTTTATGTAGTAGAGTACCATGTTGTTGTTTCTCCTTAATTCTGTCACGCTTAGGTAGGGCCTTTGCTCTATATCTGCACCAAATCGAATGAATGAACTGGTGGCCCCCATTGTTCTTTCTCGTCTGAGGCAGTACGAGAAACGACCATTGCTTTGACCTTGAGAGTCTATTCGGTTAACAAACGTTTTGGGACCAAATCCAAGACCCATGCAGCAAAGGACACCTGAAATCAAAGAATACAAAATTAATCCCCATATTGTATAACTAATAGCTTCAACTTTTAGGATGAAATATTCAATATAGTACCAAAGTGACCAAGTGTGTAGGTTTACCCTAAATAGATCGAGACCCTACGTAATAAGTATGAAAGAGGAATTACAATTTGTCTACGATTAAGTGAAGAACCATGTAACGTACAAAAAAATTCCAATATTATAACATGCTAGATAATTATTACCCAAAATATTAGTGTCACAAAATGAGCCCAACAATATATATTAAGCTAACAAGTGGTGATCACTAGTCTCACATAGGCTTATTTTAAGTTTCAATTTTTTTTGGACAGCAAACTTTACCAACAAGTCATGTACGTACCTCTTTGCTGTCAATGGTGCAACCAAATACCAAGCCTTCAAGAGACTCCCTACCGGGGCCAGTACTTCTATCGAAACTGAAAGTTTCAGATGCAAGAAAGCCAGCCACATAGCTCTGGTCTGCATATAGCCTCTCTCAAAATCACACTAGCCTTCAATGCAAGGCCCCTCGCAAAGAGGATGTCCATTACATCGCAGAAGCTTGTAAGAAGTTGAACTAGTACATGGAATGGTTCATCTTCCACGGCAAAGCAGTGGTGCCTTCTACAATATTCACATTGAAGACAAGTGAGATCGCTGCCAGTGTCGAAAACAAGGTTGTAAGATTTGTATGGTGGAGAGGAGGTTGGGATGGTGCCGAGCCCGATTTTAACTCTATAGAGTGCGAGGCCTAGCATAGTGTTCACGAGAACACGAACTGTTTCAGGAGTATAGGAAAATGTTTGATTTTTTGTCATGTTTTTGATGTATTGAGCTCGAGTGATGGACTGGTAAGCAAGAGTTTGGATTCTCTGTTTGTGGGTGAGGTTTGGTTGGTAGAAAGGTGACTGTGGAGAATGTCTATGGATGAGCTCAATGGTCAAGCCACCACATGGTGCTGCTATTAACAAGGTTGAGAGTGGGCAGAGAAAGAAAGGGCTAATTCTTTCTGCCATGGCGCACTTCAATTAGAGACAAGACAATGCTGAATGGCTAGTACTAGGACTGCCTGAAATGATAGACTGATTTTATAATGGAAGAGTTAACTTGAATGCATATAAATATAGGAAATAATTAGTTCATGTCATTAATTTGGAATCTGAGTTTCTGTACTTCTCTTGTTGACCTTTTCTCTGTGTGTAAATCATTTATTACAAAATCCATGGATTATCTTCCATTTTAGTTGAATGATCCTTGAAGGTGACATAAAGAAGGTGTTTGGTGATGTGGAGAAATTAAAGAGAGAGACAGAAGTAAAACCAGAAGAGCTTGAGTTGCGGGGAGGGAGGGATAGTTTAGAAAGGGATCCCAGTGATTTTTTGTCCGATGAAATTTTAGCTTGAGTTGTATGCACATACAACATGGGATTACGTTGATTAAGAGGAGAGAATATTAAAAAAATAAAAGTTCAGATTAACTGGTCCCGGCGAGGTTCGAACTCGCGACCTCCGGCTCATAAGACCAGCGCTCTAACCAACTGAGCTACGGGACCAGTTGTTTGCTTAATTTTTATTATCCATATTTACTATAAATTATTTGCTGGACCAGTTGTTTGCTTAATTTTTATTATCCATATTTACTATACAGCTGTAGCAAATAATTTATTCATTAACAGCTGTAGCAAATAATTTATTCATTAACAGCTGTTCTATTGTGTCACAATCACAAAGTTCAACTTATAATGATACAATTATGTTTAAATATTTGATTTGCAGTCAAAGCTATCTCAATACCTTCCATGTTTTATCCTCCTGTAATATTCAGATATTGCTTATAGTGAGAAGCAGATTTTCATCCTTCTGGGATTCAAATACACCGTTTTCATCTACTTCAGCAAATTATAACCCCTCTTTCATCTTGGTTCTTGGACTTTGCAAATCAATATTGGGGTAATGGATTAACCACAAAACAAAACTGCTGGCTTAAGTTAAGACCATCCAAAAAAGGTGGTGAGGACATAAACCAGCAGCAGTGATACAGGGTACAGAATGTAGGCTATGATACTTGTCCAAAATGGGAATTTTCTGCTGAAGCTGGTAGAAAGTCCCATGACTGTGCAAATAATCAAGACAACTAAACATTCTGCAGAGACTTCCCACGATAAATTTCGTATGTAAACAAGTGCCAAGAAGATGATCAAACCCGTGGTGTTGTTCATGAACACTCCATTGTAAATCTGCAGACAACATTTCATCAAACATTAGTAAACTCATGTCATTGCTACATAAAAAAACCAATCATCAAGGCTTTCTTGAGTAAGAAGATAGATTTTAGCTTATGAGAGAAACAGACCTCAGAAAGTGTTAAAGATATGGCATTATCTGTCTTCTCTCTGGCAGAAGTTACTGATCTCAGTGCTAGTCTGTAGTTTGTGGACCAGGGTATCAAAATGTACGAGGTTAAGAATGAAGGGATGCTTGCAGCAGTAGAGAATTCTTGCATAGTTTCCATGAGGGGCACTGCAAGCAAAACTGTAATGCCAGTACCTAGAATCAATAGATAAGCAGCCTTCACGAGATTTGTCCAAGATTTATCAGCACCCTTAGCCTTCTTTTTCTTCGCCACTGGCATCTTCTGGTCTTCCTTAGTTTTCTCATTCTGCAATTGAAATTTAATGATCTTGATGAGACTGTAGTTTTCTTTTAGCATTGGAATATATCCCTACCATATATGGCTGAGTTTATACCTTGGGATTTCTTCTAAAAAACCATTTATGTTCATGACTGTTACCGTTGGCAGAGGGCTTAGCTGGATTAATCCATTTTGAGATTCCATTGACAAACTCTGTCTCAACTATTTGAGAATCACCAGAGATATCAAATTCCTCCATCACTTTTGCTGCATAATCATCGTCATCCAGACCTACTTCTTCTATTTGTATTCCTAGGATCAATGCTCTCAGCTCATGTGATGATATGTATGTGTTATTATTCTGGTCTAATCTATGAAACAGCCTGCAAATAAAATCCGGAAACGACTAAATAATGAGATCATGGCACATTTCAACAATTCAGGCAGACTAAAGATGGAAACCTGGAACTTACCCTTGTATAATGGATACATTGGGGTTGCCTCCAACTGTCAGAAGACTTTGTAGTAAGTTTTTGTGTGCATATTTACGCATCACAAAATCAAGTCTTCTTTTCTGAATCCATGGTTGCATGATCTGCATTGTTGTTTATCTTTTTTTCAGTTAAGAAGTACAAACATCCTCATTTGATTCTCATATTTCAACTTCTACAAAGCTCAGATTTGCTTAAATATTCAAGTCTTCTTTTGAATCTTATATATGCAGCTTGTTATTTCCTCTTTTCATACACAAAATAAATTGGATTTTTACTTGCATGTATCTAATCATTTGGGAAGCAGATTCTGTGCTCTTCTTGAACTTTTTTTTGTTACCTGATAGATGCAGTAAATGACAAGGAATGCAAATGCAATAAGTAGAGAGACTAATATCACAACTCGAATCCCCGAAGAAGAACTGAGCATTTTTGCCACTTGAAGAACAAGAAAGGGGATCAATGAGACCATCATGATTCTTGCAGTAGCTTTGGTTTCAACATCAGTTGTTACACCATAACCTGAAAGGGCATGCATACTAAAACATCTAAATTATCATATTTGTAGACCTCTCTCTCACTGAGAGTGTGTTGTTCAGTGTTTATGAAGATAAGAGAAGAAGTAAACCAGTTAAACTGAAGGATTACTTATTTTCTGTATTTGATGAAGTTTGAGACACCGAGAGGTCATGGCTTCCAAAAGCAACAACAGAACCCCAAACTAGTGTCAGAAGCATGATTGCTGATCCTGCAAGTAGGCCCATGCTCATTTCTGCCATTACCTCTGCCGTTTCTGTACTTCCTGTCACTCCAGTTACTGGGAAAAAAATGTGAATTTTGTAAGGAATTTACAAGACATCTCACATCCATCTGCATGTGTAATCCAAAAAAAGACATGACTTCTAATAATCTAGGGAGATTATGGCTAACGTTTCTTAATTCTCTCCTTTCTACCTGCTCTTCAACCAACCAATAGCTTAATAATGTAGGCCACATTGAATGAAAAGTCCATATACAACCAACCAATAGCATAATGAATGCAACAGAAGAGAGGAAGAAGAACTAGACCAAAATCTCATGGACCATATATCTAATTATAAACATACATACATACATAAATGCTGAGGCCTGAGAAGAAGATAGAAAGGAGCTTACCAAGTACCAATCCTACTTGTGGTATCATGCCAAGCACGTGGAAAGCACTAGCACCAAAGATACCAGTCCCAAACAATTCAAAGAAGAGTTCAGACCCTGCAGAAACATACTGATCTGCAAGGGACAGCAAGACCTCGTACACGATTATCAGGAAAAGCAGCCCCCACACTGAAGTTGCACAGGGCAAGAAGCCATAAACTGGTTCACAAGTCACAGTATCTGCTTGAAGATCCACTACTTCTAGGATTGAAGGTTGGCTTATTCTGTTGTCTATTATGCCGCCATTGGATATAAGACCAGAATCTCTAACAAACCGGCTGCTTCCAAAATGGACTAATTGGAGGATCAGTAAAATGGTAAGCAAAGCTGGTCTTGACATATCCAGAGACTCTTAGTCTTAGCTTGTGGGTGCAAAAATGAGAATGGGAAGCAATTGACTTGGAGCTTTTTGAGGTTTAAATGGACAAGATCATGCAAGTTGAGGTTTAAAATGAATAAAATCAAGCAAGTTGTGGTGACATTAGCAATCCCTTCCCTGCTTAGCCCCGTGCTAGATTTTTGAAAAAGTAAGAACAAAAGCTAGTCATATAATAGAACGAGGCAGGTTGCACTTGCAGCAAAGCTACCTACCTATTTGGATTACTAATTTGACTGAATCTATTCCTCTATACTTGCTCCACAAATCCATTGCATAGTTTTGGATATAAATAATGAAAAATACTTGGACAAAGACACATCGAATAGTCGTCGAATCATTGGTAACATTTTCTAATCAAGCAGCCTCTGAACTTTGAATAATGCAAGTGATCAAGCAAGCACTAAAAGATTTTAAATTGATGACATTAAGTTGGATTGAAGATGAAACATAACAACCATCTCCCCGAGAAGAAGACTAGCATGCCAACATGTCATGATTCAATACATATGATATAGAGGCAGTATAGGTATAGATTCATCAATGAGCTGTACAGTATATACTAACATTTACAGGTCTCTTTCATTATCTTATTATAATCTGGGATCTGAATTATTGAAAGAACAGAGGCTTTTTAATACAAATTTTTTTCTTCTGAAAAATGCTTGAAGATCCAAACGTGGGCTGCAGTACAGGTGGGTTGTTTGTTTGTTAGTGAAGCAAAACCTTGCTGGTTTTTTCCCCCTATCTTCTTCTTTCTATTCCATGCATGACAAGGGGTAGAATCATTTCATCTACTCCGAGATCCTGCCGTGAGTGCAATGCAACTTTCTCTTTATCACTCGTCACGTAATTAGTCTCACGTGAGCATGAGATAGAGAGAAACATGGATTTCATTCGTGACGTGAAAATTCTCTCCTTACCAGGAGCCCCATTGGAATAGAACAGTGAGCCAGAGTCTTGGGGCCAACTAGTGCTTATCTAGAGTCCGAGTTTGACTTGGTCTGAAGCATTTGGCCGTGGTTATTTTTTTATACCATTGTCAACTGAGATATTTAAATTAAAACGTATTGAGACATGTTGTAAAAAGAAAGCAAATTTTTCTTCCCCAGATAATAGTTATAACAAGTACAATATTGAAAACAAAAATTTTAAAAAGAAAGAATGGAACCTAACCCTGACCCTGACGATGCAAGTGGGGGTTATATATCACTCCACTTCAACCTAATCCATTTGTCAACGGGTTTGATTCAAATGGGTGAAACCCGTAAAAGATGATATCAATAGACAAACTTTTGAATAAATTAGGTCATATACTAGCGACGTTTTTCGATAAAGTTTACTAATAAGAACATAACCACGTTTTATGTTGAGGAGAGGACAAATAAACTGAAGAATTAAGCAACCAGCCATTTTTAATAACAATCATTAGGCAGAAGAAGAAGAAAAAACATCTTCTGGATAGTTAGATTATAATTAATATATTCACAAGTCGAGAACCAAGTTATCAAGGCCACGGTGATTGCTTTCCTCTTTTGTTCCATATATGTTCTTATAAGCAATGCTGAAGGCAGGGCTAGTGAACCATTGACTTGAGTCGCTGGTGTTGGTAAAAATGTGGAGCTGCCTCTGTGAGCCAAGAAGGATCTATGGAAATCACATTCCGCATGTACTGCTTATCAGTTGAGACAAGAGAATGGTATAATACCCACTTGGGATTAACTCTGCGAGAAAAATGAATTAACACGGATTACGATTGTTTACAACTCAGTTCAAACAAATCCATTCTAATAAAACCAACAAAAAAGGACGCGGGAGGCGGGAATCAAATGACGAATATTAACAGTAAGCAGTCCCTGAGAAAAGAAATCTTTACTAACCTGAATAACACAGATGATGGGTGAATATAAACTGCTTGAGAACCTCTAATAGTCTTGTACTTCCCATCGTGACTTGATGCCTACAAACCATTAGGAGTATAAATGAATGAAGTTTCTCTAATAACAAGAGAGAAGATGAACAATAAATGATTCGTTAACAATTCCCACCAATAGTAAAGATTTGGTAACTAGAAATACACAAAAGTAACTACGAAACTCACTTCTAAACGACATGCATTAGCGAAAAACCCATTAGTAATTGCCTTCCTCACTACCTGCAAGATTTAAAGAGTAGCAGCATTCAGAATAAAAAAAAGAGAAAAGAAGGGCTTTATCAACCCCAAGAATTTAACAAAAACTCCAGGTTTCTAGATAAGTATGTTTAGATCCCAAAGAAAACTGATGGAAGCATTTTTATGCTTTCTGAGGAAGGTTCTAGCTTGCAGCCATTTGGATTGTAAGACAAACCTTTTTTCTTTTTGTTTTTGCCTTTTGATTTTGTTTACATACATACAAAAATGTTATGGTCCGAATCATGGAGACTTGAGACCCACAAGACCTACAGACTAGGATGTGTTCCCCTCTCATCCTATGCATCCCCCTCCTCCTCCATCCCTCAATGAAGGTGAGATTTGATTTTGATCCCAACTCCCTATAATGCCACTAAAAAATGCACATTCTATATGTGAAATGTATCAACTTCTTATTCTTCAGAACTTTTCCTCCATTTTTTAAAAGTCATAATTATTGGTAGAGAAGAAGAAAAGTGGGAGATTATTTTATATCTCAGAGATACAAATTTGATACAGCATGCATAAACTTACCACCGTGTCTCTTTCACAAGATTTCAAGACAATGCCTATTCTCTGAGCCGTTCTTCTGAGTTGTTCTCTAATTTCCAGAACCTTTTTCTGCACAACAATCAACTCACTCAAAAAGGTGCAAAGACACCATCTGTTAAATTGATCAAACCAGTTAATTACTGATACACACCATGGCTTGGTAGTTTACAAAGTTCTTATGACACCACTGCGAAGATTTACCAGACTGAAGAAATCCTTTGTAGACATTTAAGAAACTCACATGGTCACCCTGCATGGAATCGAGAAAATCAAAGAGCACAGCCCATTAGGTTAGTGAGCCTAGAAAGATAGGGGAAAGATATATGCATACCATTGAAAATTCAAATTTGGTACCTCAGCAGCAGCAAAATTCAACTTGGCTTCATCCAGTTCCTTCTGTGATCCCCAACCAGAAACCCAGATAGACTGCAAGACCAACATTTTAATTGTGAATTACTCAACGGAAGATTTCTATTCAAGGAGTTTCTTTTCTTCTAGAAATTGAGATATTTTCTGTAAATATAAAAAAGGCTTATTGTACTAAATATACAACCTAAATACATACTGTTGTTCTTTAATATTCAGATTCCAAGATTTCCAATGGAGAGTGAGAGAGAGAAAATTATACAAGTATTTATTAACAGTAAGAGAATTAATAGGATTTACTTGAATAGAGAGAGTGGCAGCAATAGTAATCATCTCTTCTGAACACCCCAGTTGACCTGACGCTAAGATCATTTTTGAGATCATTGGATCCTACAAATCATTAAACTTCAACAAATGAGTCTAACTTCTAAGTTATACACCACGACAAAATGTTAAAGAATATAAACAATTTCAAAAGACAAAAAGCACAATAGGAAAGTATTTTCACAATTACTTGAAAACAATGTTTTTGGGAGGGGGGGCTAGCTCTAGTAAACACATTAGTGCACTGTATAGAAAACAAATGTAACAGTACTGCTGCATTCCACTGATTCTAACATACAAATCCAATACAGCAACAAACTAAATATCTAGTGCAGAACCACAAGGACTGTAGTCCCAAAGCAACCAATTAATTTCGTAGCAGATAAGGAAAACATAAATACTTTAGGGAGTAGATACAAGCCAGAAATACACCGATGATAAAAAAAATTTCATTCGCAACATACCAATGGAATCTCAGCAATTTGAAATCCAGTCGGTGAAGTAAGTTTGGCATCATCATCTAGGACTCCAAGTGAATAAAGCACTTCAAGCGCTCGAATCATTGCCTCAGAAGATGGAGATGCTGGCCAATCAAAGCCCAAGATATTATCTATTCCCAAGGCTTTTAACTAGAAAGTAAGAACACATTATTAGCATCTACACACCAGAAAAATATATCTCAGCTTTAAACATCAAATTATTGCACACGAAGAATCACAAAGCCTGCATGGAAATAAACAGACTTATGTTGCTAAGGAATTTACAATGTTACTGATGATAAGCATGAGATACTCATGGAAAATTTGATTGATTTGATACTGGCAGTCTGACAGTATGTTCATAGTGGCTATCATGTAACTCCTGAAACTAGTGGGACGGAAGTATGCCATATTTGAGACATACAATGGGAGCTCCAGATGGAGGCCTATTAGCCATGGAAAGCACTGCGTTGCAATATAATATCATACCTGAATCACACAGGGAACAAGATTTGACCTTTGTATCTCTGGGATCCCCTCAGCAGACATTTCCTTTGCAAAATACTCTTCAGTATATAGCCTGGTCGCAGCCATGGAGTTTAAGGGAATTAAGTAAACTTATTTGAACTCAGAATTAGCTTGAAGAGCAATGGGCATTAGTATATAAAGTATCTATCATAAAAAGTCTCATGACAACTTATTCTGTTACATAATGGCTTCTTATTGGAAGTATATCTCTATCAGCCTATGTACCTTGTAGGTACATTTGTTTGATGACTTGTCCCTAACTCACACAAGTGAATTTTTATTATCTTCTAACAGTAATAAAGGTGGTCTGACTGTAGAATTCCTTACCACTAACTGAAGATCTTTGTCACAAGAAAGATGCCACAAATTCAGGGAAGAGAAAAGTGAAGTAAATAACCACAAAGAATTGCAGACCTGTAACATTTCCCAGGCCGAACTCTTCCAGCCCTACCAGTCCTTTGTCGAGCAGATGCCTTGGATATTGGCGCAACTACCAGATTTTCAATATCTGTTATCTATGTAAAGTAGATACAGAGTGCGCAAAATAAGAAGACAGATATTCACTAAACTAAGATTATATTATTAGATAGAAACTTTCGGCTCCAATATCAGCAAGAATCACAAGGT